ACAGCGTTTACAAAATTATAATATAAGAATAAATTTAGAAAAATCGAAGTTCATGATGGATGAAATACAGTACTGTGGATTTACATTACGCGAAGAAGGTATACTCAAAGAAAAATCAAAAATGGAAGCTATAAGAAAAATGCCGCGTCCCCGAAATGTTTGGGAAGTTAGAGCATTTATAGGAATGGTTAATTATTACGGTAGATTTATACGAAATTTAAGCTCAATACTTCAACCATTAAATACACTGTTACACGTGAACGTTCCGTTTATTTGGGGAAGAGCACAAGAGCAAGCATTTATGAATGCAAAACAAGCTTTTCTAAGCAATGAAATCTTGGCACATTATAATCCGAAATTACCTTTAATTCTGGCAACAGATGCGAGTCCTTACGGAATAGGAGCCGTCCTATCACAATTATATCCCGATGGTACGGAAAAAGTAATACAATACGCGTCACAGACTTTGTCAGCAACACAACCAGAACACAAGACAGATCGAAACTTAGTAGATATAAGGGAAGATATACGTCGTTCAGCGAGAACACGTAAACCTCCGTCACGTTACGGGGACTTCCTAGAACCCTAAAGAAAGAATTATAATGTTAAGAGAATATTTTCCATTTATTGTAACCGCAACGTAGAAAGTAAGCTTCTCCTTGAAGGGAAGGTGTTGTGGAGATTCGTAATGCGCGCGGATTAGTCTACTATATAGATATGTGTAATTGAGAAGCCGCAGCGATCATTAACGCTACTAGGCGGCGCGTCATGTAGCACCGTCGGAAGGAGCACACTTGTTCCTTAACGTGCGGATCACTTCTTACCTTACCCTCACTGAGGAAATACACAGTTTATATATTACAAGGTCTTACAGTTATTACAAGCCTCAGAAAAACCCACACAGTTACAACAAAATACATTGAGTACATGAGTTAGATAATTAATTAAATATGTTAGTACGTATTATTCATTTGATTAGTTATTTAAAAACAATATACTACATATATATTATTATTTTTAACATGTTCACAATTTATACTGACAATAAGGACAATGAAAAATAGAAACTAGCAGATATTACATTATATTACCACGATTTGGCCGTTCTGCACATGCGCGACGTCTGTAGCCTGCGTACGGGATATATGTATAGGTATAACGCTTGCGCACAACGCACAGAGTCTGTTCTAGAGTGAGAAACAAATATCATCCGCACCGTAATATTTTTCGAAACTCTCAAGCACAATCAGCAATGTAGGAGTATTACATGTATTTTATTTCACACACGTATACGCTGTGTGGCCAGATTTGAGACACAAACAGCAGCAGCAGCAGCAGGAATGGAAGGATTACCGCATATATGCGCAAGTCACATTGTACATGTGAGCTCCGCGCTTCGCATGTCATGGCTTGCGCATGCGTTGCCGGCGATACATGCCGATATGTGTACATCTGAGATACTAGCCATCTATCGGCAAGAATTTATAAAGTACATCCCAGACGACTGAAATAATTTTCATAGTTTTCATGACATTTCGACTTTAGACTTTAATATCTTTATTTATACAGCATATAGAGCAAAAACAAGCATACTTTTATTATATATTTTGGGTATGCGCTATCGATTAAGCCAATTTTTAAGTCGATCGGCTCAGCATTACTGAGATCCGATAATCTCGGCTTGTCTCAACTCTCGGTCTCGCGTAAAGAGACACGGTCGGTCTTGCGCTGCGCGTGAACTTGGCGCGAGACACTGCCGTGTCTCTTGATTAATCTAAATGTTTCATAATTATTACTAATGTAAAAGATCAAAACATAATTGACATTTTTATTTGTATGTAAGTTGCGAATTCAGCGACTTAACCAAGGAGGTAAATTTGTAGGTAATTGAATAACAACCCGTGTGGATGCAGTTTAGAACTGTAATTAAAAACATATTTACAAACTTATAAACTAACCAAATAACTCTAGGTATCTTTATTTACAAACCTGAATCAACACAATTGTCGAAATTCAGAATAAACAATAATTAAACTTATTTAAACAAAGGTTTACTCGAGCGAGTCATTCAGCTGCGAATCTCAACTTAACCTCTCTGCCCACGGCTGTCCCATGATACTCGTCACTGTAGGTTATCTGACGTCTGCGTCAGATGACTAAGTTTGGCGCCAGTATTCAAACTTACATGTATATATTTGTTCATAAAGTATTTGTATCTTTATATAAAGTAATACTAAAAACAGAGATCTTTTAATATGAGGCAATGCGAGGGATACATTAGTTACGTTAGTTTTACATTGGATTTTATGTGCTTAGTTTTAGTGAACAAATTTGTATAAATACTATGCTTATATAAAGTGATAAAATGTAATAGTGATATATTTGTATCATATATTTCACTATAGGTATGTGGAAAGCCTGTCCTTGCATTGGATTTCTGTTCATTGACTATTGATGGTGAAAATGAAGGCTATGGTCAGAAGCATTTGTGCTTGCAATGCCATACCCAAGAAAATGTAAATTATATTATTGTCTCACAAGATTTTGAAGATTGGGGTGGTCAAATTTCAGCTGCACAAAAATCAAATAAGCCGAAAGGTATATATTTGTAAAATAGTTATGCACAGAATGCGCTCCTGTTGCATTCGAAATTTATAGACATACCCATTCTAAAGAATGGCGGAGATGTGCAGCTGAAAGACGTAAAAAATAAGCGGGTGATGGTAACATTGCAAAACACGTGTAGTTTTGATAGCTTCTTTCAACTGTTCTTGTGTGCGTCATTTGATTACAAGGAACTTGTTGATGAACTTGACAATCACCAATGCAATAATTTCTTTAATATGGTGATGTACGTGAACAGAAAAGGAATTAATAAATCAGCATATAAGCAAAGATGCGATATTTTATATGAAATATTTGAAAAGACTGAACCAAAATTAGGCTGTTCGTCACTGTTATGCAATACAACAATTGGGCACATAAGTCGCCAAATTTTGAAAAGCCACAGCCCCACATTTATAGAGCGAACTGGTATATGCGATCAACATTGCATCAATGAACAACACACATTTGCGGTACTTTCTGTACGACTAGCATCATTAATGCACAAGTCTTTTAATAAGGAAATCATAGAAGATATTTGCTTCTCAAAGAGAATGTAAAACCGCAGGATGTGCTGGATCCATCAAAAAAGAACTGAGCTTACAAGGTAATAACTCATTAAATAGAAGTTAAAAGATTATTATCATACGAGTAAAATTTGTTTATATTTATGTGCGATATCTCTTGGTGGTGCTTGATATCTAAGACTCTGATAAAGATGGCAAAATATGTGCATCTATAAATTGCACTAGTACTTTTTAAATCTTTTCTTGAACTCTCTCACGCTGTAGATACACAAATTATTTCATTGAATTTAAAAACCCATACTTAATAGTCGGCGATTAAATATTAGTGATAATAGAATTAAGTAAAAATAATATTTTATATATATATATATATATATATATATATATATATATATATATATATATATATATATATATATATATATATATATATATATATATATATATATTATTATTA